GCGCCTTCACTGCTTTTATGCTTTCCCTTTCTCTTTGTGTAGAATGCAGATGAGCAGAACCATCCTATTACTTTAGACTTTTTATATAAGAAGAAAAGAACTGCTTACTTGTTTAAGCCATTGCTCCAAGATACTCCAAGCAGCAGCCAAACTTATGTCCTAACAAATATAGGGAGATAGTGTACACGCTCTGCAGCCCTGATATTAAGGGATTTTCTGATATAGATGGAAAAAAGTAAAAAGGGCAGAAATGTTCAGGTTAGGCCAAGGAAATTTGTACTACTTCCTCAATCCTCCTACACATAAAACTTGGAAGCATAAATGGGAAGACAGAATTATGCAGTCAGATATGAGTTTTACTAAGCATGTACTAGTAGTACAAGGCCTCAATTTACAGAAGTAGATCTGTTTTACAAGTCATTAAGTCCATCAATTTCATATGCAGCTTAGATGATAAAGACACGTTTCCAATCGTGAAAGAAATAACATGTTAAGAAATTCTCATGGTACATGCAAAAGAAACTAGAGTGTTACCAACATTTGTAAGCAGTGATGTCTTATCACATTTTAGATAGATATTTAGTTAAGAACCTGTGTAGAAAATTGAAAAAAACCTAAAAGGGTTCTAGAGTGTGTGATGAGGGAATATCACCATTTATACTTCAACCATGAAAGTTACACCTATTTTCAGGTTTCTTTAGTCCCTAATTTCAATTTAGTAAATGAGTCAAAGAATGATTAACATAGTCATTCCTGTAATGTCTAAAGAGAAGTTATCCACAAATACAGACAAGCAATACATCTGAAAATTGCATTTTGTAAATCACTTTTGCTTTTCAGAAGATAAATATCCAGCATTTCCTCAGTAATTTCTGGTGCTCTCAAAGCAATGATCCCCCTGCTATACGTAATCTGTAAGATATCACTGACCATTAAATTACAGGATAAAGAATGTATTTCACAACTTGGAAAGTTAAAAGCACCATGAAACTCAGAATGGTTAAATAACCACTCATTTCTCAGAAAAGCTTCACTGAAAAAGTGGCCTTATATATTTTGGAAGACCCAAGTTATGCATTGCATGGAAGCCACTGATTTCAAAGGCGGCCTGAAATAACTGATATGAAGGGCAGGTCATTTAAACAGAAGCTCAGTTTTGGTGGGACTGCATGACAGGAGGTATGAGAAACAAAAGGAGCATAGGGCTGGGTGACAAGCACCACATGACCTGCCTACGCAATCTTATTTATCTCTATGTGTACCACTATACCAGGAAGGACTATTGACAGCACCTGTTTGAGAGAGATACTATGTCAAATATGTTATTTTCAAGAAGACGGTTTTCATTGTGACTGAAAATATTGTTTTTGCATATTTCTCTGTGGTATAATAATAAACCTAGTCTTTCCTAAGATTTTGAACAATCAGAAAGTAGTTCAATTAAAAAAAAAAAAACTTAAAAAAAAAAAGTTCAACTGATCAACAATGTTTGCTGTAAACTACCATGGGCCTAGAAATGGCCTAGCCATGTCCATTCACCTTTCTAATGCCTAAAGCAATACAGATATAAATATGCTTACTTTAACATACACATGCAGAGAATTTATGTGAGCAAAGTATTAAGGTTCTGTAAAAACATAAAAATGAAATGATCTTAAATGTTTTCAGAAGATGATGACATTGCACAGTCACACTAAATACATCTACAGCTTCCTAAAACCTAAGTTTTCCTTCAAAGATTGGTACTGAAAGATGTTCAAATACTACTAGAAATGGTTTAATTAAAAATTCCCCTCAAAAAAATTTAAAAAATTATTCAAGTGGCAAAAAAAATCTCAAAAAGAGTACACACTGTCTAATTTCATTTATGTAAAATTCTAGAAAATGAAAACTAACCTATATTGTTAGAAGGCAGATCAGTGGTGGTGTGGGGCCCTGGCTAAGGGAGGGCTTGACTGCTGAGGGCATAAGGGAACTTTTGGGGGTGGTAAACATAGTATCTTAATTGCTGGGCTGGTTTCACAAGTGCATACACATGTCAAAATTCACTCTGTTGCAGACTTTAAATGGATGCAGTTTACTATATATGAATTATACCCCTATTCAAAAACAAGTAAGATAAAAAATAAAAGGCAAAAATAAAACTACAAAGAAACAAACCAAAAATAAAAAAACCCAGGTTAAGCCCCACTTTCCTGCAGTGGAGAACAAGCCTTCTTTTCAGAACAAGCCTCACAATACTATTATTTGTATTTCCTTTTGGCACATGTCTGTCAGGTGAAGGGGGAAGAAGAATGAAGACACCCCATCCACCAAATAAGTGAATGGGAAAGCTGAAGCACCTCAGAATTTGGTGAGCATTTTATAGTATAGCAAAGTTGTTTAGAGCACAGACTTGGGTTGAAAAGACACATGGGAGCCTCAATGTTGCCTCTGTCATTATAGAGTGGTCACAAAGGCCCCGTGCTTGCTAATTAGAAGTTACCTCACATTCCCCTTCACTTGCTAGTTAGTTTTTAAAATTTCCTATGCTCTTCTTCACCTCATGAGTTGATAGTGGCCACCCAATCCCCATACATGAAATTTTGCCTAAAACAGATGATGGAAGAGCAGACTCAGGCATAAATCTTAATCTTTAGGAGCCTATCTTCCCATCTCATCCGTAAAGTGGGAATACCATCTAACTACTGTGTGAATGAAATGGACATGCAACTTGGCATTAGTAAGTAATAGTAGCTTAGCTTTTAATATTTAACAAATATAAATACTTGTAAAAGGAATGAAAAACAAAACCGAAAGGACGGATTAACTAAAATGAAGGTAGGGTTTATAAGAATGTGTGGGTTATGTGTAGGTTTGGGGAGTTAATAGGTTGATAAAGGAATGAAATACTTAATGCAACTTAGAAATACTATAAAAAATCAGTTTCTTAATGAGAAGAATCACTTAGTCATTTATGCCACATTGTGCTTCATACAAATTAGGACTCATGAAATTGTGAAGAGCACCTATTTAATCATAATTTTAAATTAAAGGAGATGATGTGTTAACTGGTCAGTCACCTGGCCTCTTAAAACTCATGATTATGGTATAACAGTGTTGAGTATTATAAGAATATTGAGATTTCAGTTTTTATTAGTTTCTGTGTAAGGTACACACACTGCTAGAGCAGAACACCTCACAGCTCATTTGCTGATATAAGTTATTCACCATATTTCTGTACCAGTTTAGAACAACAATCTGAATTTTATTAAAAACAAAAATAAATCTAAAAAGCTTCCTTCAATTACACAGTATGCACAAGAATTTCTGCATTACATCATTTTACATAAAATGTTCTGAATGACAGAAGTAGCAGTAGCACTTACTACCATTTGAAGAAAGGAATTTGGTGCTGAAAACCACACACACACACACACACACACACACACACACACACACACACACACACACACAGAAACAAAAGTTTCACAGGGAAGACCTGTGATTTCTGGCTACAGGCAGGAGCTGAAATTAGGAACATGAAAGAAACTTGAAGAAAAAAGGACATTCAATGCTCTAAAATACTTCAGCAAAAGTAGTCAAACACTTGTAAACGACTACTAACAAATCTTTTCAATATGCTGTGGTGCTATAAAGTAAATATTCTTACTGATTTTTATGCAACTCAAAAAAGCAGTTTTTAGTGCTGAAGAGTATTTCCCTCTAGATTAGATAAAAGCTTTGCTTTCTTTCCCTGGAGGCAGGAATAAAATGTAATTAGGGTTTGTTTAGGGATTGTCTGTGAATATCTTAGAGTTGGGCATTTTAGCCACTTGCTTCCTTATTTGCTATTTTCACCCAAAAATGAGGGTTAGGATAAATTGTAAAACCAGCATTAATATAAAGTTTGCTTACTCGTTAACATCTCTATTTGATGGTTTGATGGGTGAGGACAATGGTGAAACTGGCCGTGAATCTAATTATCCCTGATATCCTTTCTCCCATCTCCAGGGATCATCAGGACTTAAAAGTATGAGACTGGAAGTGCAACTACTTAAAAACAGTAAGGCTGAACTGCACTCAACGTCCAGGACAACTACAGTACTGAAAATCCCAAGAAATTTTCTGTAAACAAACAGGCAACTGTTCAACAGCCTTTTGCATGTGGTACCATGACTAAAATCTACTATTTTCTTCCATTTACGTATTTGGATATTTTTATGAAGTGACTGCATATAATAGTAATAAATTTTCCCTTTCAGCGTGTTATGATATAGCAAAACACTTCAATGACTAGAAATAAAAATCTAAAATCTCTAATGCTAAAAATCCTAATGGAAAAATCAAGCCTTAGCATTCATGCTTAGATATCTTATGCTCTGAGATAATTAGAAAAGCCTTAACACTGACTAGGTCCCTTTTTGTGGAGTGACAGATGTACATACAAGCAGCAATGCTATGGATGACTTATGCTTTTCTTTAGTCTACAGTTATTTTCTGTGCCAATTTTATTTTACTATTAATATGTTAGGCCCTATATTAATTTCAGTTGGATAATCAAATTATTTGGGAATGATAATCCTTTTATTTAAATAAAATGATGGAAGACATTTAGTTACCTGAAGCTTTCTAGTAAGAGATTCTGAAGAAGCTAAAAATGACACAGTTTAGGACAAACTGTCCTTACCTTTACTGCTTGTATACACAAGGAATTCATTATAAAACTCAGTGGGAGCAGAAAAAAATAATGGAAGAAAAAGTTACCTGCTTTAGCATTTTTAAGAATACTTTTGATAACTTCTTAGATCATCTTGCTTATCTGAAATAGAGCAAAAACTACAATACAATCATGATAGAATTCTAATAATCAGAGTAATTATGCTTTCCCTTTTTATTTTCTCTTCAATAAAACATTAATGCTATAAAAGAGACTGACGACATCCTTATTTAAAAGACACCACTAGTATCAAAATGTGACTTATTTTAATATTAACTGAAAAAATAGAGCTTGTATAGTCTATTATTTCAATTATGTTTTATTATTACTTTTATTCTGAAGGCTGTAGCAAAGCTATTGTTAACAATATAAATATTCTCTTTGTAAGTGTTGAAATTCTCTTAAAAGTGTTGAAAGGCAGCGGGCATTCTAGAGTGGGCTTGCAAGGAAAATCAATTATCCCAATATCTAGGATAAGAAGGATACTTGATGAATTTATATTTACTTCTTTAACTTCCTTTCTAACTTTTCCTGATCTACCCAGTTTATTCCTTGTTTGGTATTGTAAAAAGAAATCTAAGACCAAGCCTTTTAGCTGGAGTAATTATTTCCATTTTCCATTATTTCTCTTCAGTTTTTTCAAATATATGGTAAAACAATCCAATAATCATTGCAGGAAGGAATGATCATTTAAGACGGATCATATTCTTTTGCCTTTTAACTTCATTTAAGAGATACTAATATTAGAGTCATAAAAGCTTTACAGTTTCAACACACATACACATAATCGCAGGATTAAAAATCTTCATGACTTAAAAAAAAAAAGAGTTCCATTTTATTCAATGTATCAATCATATTTAGTCTAATGAAATCCGGTAAAATTGCTTTCATTAAACACAGCAGCCATCACTTACCTTTAAATATTTTATGGATGGAACTAAGTTCAGTACTGATCCCAGGATGCTGGCATCAAAGCCCATAAACTATTCCTAAAGGTTCTGTATTTCTGTAATACACCACCACTAGTCTAGATTTATAATACCCTGTCTTTAACTTGGTATATACCATATTTTGGGAAAAAAAATTACTAGTTTTTTGAGATGAGATACAAGAACAAAATCATTCTTGAGGTTCCACCTCTAATACAGAAAAAACGACAATGTTTGCATATAGCAGCTAGTTTGATACCCCAGGTTCTGTTAGGCTAGCCTTCACACAATGAGCATGCATATACAGTCACAGTTCACTGCATTTGTTTTGAAGTTGAGAACTGCTGCTTATTCAAGTCACAGATGCCACCATGTTATGCAACGAGACGGTGGAATTGCATTTCCACCACGAGAAAAGGAAAAAACAAATGCAGCAAATATAGGCAGTTGGCAAAATCAGAACACGCCAAAAAGCTAACACTCATGAATTGTCATTATAAGGGTTTTTCTTTCTTTTTAAAAAAGTCTTCCTTTGCATATTTTAAAATTTAACAGTCCTAGAGAATCATGAAGTGCCTTGTCGTTTTTGCTGCTGACTTCTGATGACCTCTAGTTGTTTTTTGCATTGCTGGTAGTAGGTGGAAAGGCTTTTGTTTTCATCTAAAAGCTTTTTATGTTCCTGTACCAGACGAGATGTATTTTGCTGGTCCTTTTCATCCTGGTCCAGTTCTGCAACTAGTTCTTGCCTGAAAACAAATACCGCATAATAAAATATTACACATGATGGAATAATTCATACTTCAATAGCTGATGATGGAAGCTCAATTAATAAGAACTTTTATTCTGGTTCTATCATTCTGCATCTTAGGTACACTACCCAAATATAATTACGGGCCAAATGGAAACTATCACTCATTCTTTTGGTGTAACCATACATATATCACAATTCTTTTAATAAGTAACTATACTTAGACAATTAGTGAAGCAGATAAAGAGGTAAAATAAAAGTTTCAAAAAATTTCATTTGGTATCCCCTTTTTGTGTAGGAAGGAAGAAGACTGGGAAAGACTGTCTGGCTATCTTGAAGTCTCTATCATTCACATTTTACTTTTATATTCATTTAATCATATTCATAATCTGAAGTCACAATCCTATTTAACTACAGTGCAGAGTGGCAGCTAATAGAACATTTGCAAACTAATTAAAATAGATGCTATCCAACTTAAAGCTCTTTTCCATTTTAAAAAAGTGAGAACATTACAAGTACCACTTTTAAACCACTTAAATTTGCAAACATTTTTAGGAATGACCCTCAGAGTCTTTTAGAGACTTCTTTAAGTCCTAAGGGACTTTATATAAGGGATGTTAAGTACTAGCTTCTAAACTGAGGTTAATAAACAATTAATAAAAAGTCCTCAAACAAAATAAGTCCTAATAACATTTCTCATTTACAGTATTTAAAACTGGTTAAAACTGTCAGAGTTTTCACATACCCCCCATCCACCTTTTGTTCTTTCCAGCACAGAACTCTTCTTCTTTCAAATGATTAAAAGTATGACAAAAGTATGTGTTAAATATGTGAGGTTTTTTTCAACATAAAGCAGCTCCATAATTACTTCTACAAACTGCAATATTTAATTTCCTGCTTCGGCTTACCGTTAAGATACCAAGTATAGTTCATTTTTAAATCACTGAATTGGTAAACTGTGATAAAACTTATTTTTTTAATCTTTTTTTGAAGCACAAGCAGAAAACTTTTCACAAATTACTTCGGAAAACAAGAATTTTTATTTATTTAGATTAAAATTAATAGAGAGTGCTATTACCATACATATAGCTGCCATGATTTTTTCTCCTACAACATTTCATTTTAATTACCAACCATAAATCAGCTTCATAAGGATAAAATTTCGTGAGGGTCATGCTTAAGAACACTAAATTTTTTTTTTTTTAAAGAATTGTGAATATAGTAGTGTGATAACTGGACCGGATTTCTTAAAAAAAAGAAAAAAGGCAGTTTCTATAACTCAGAAAAAACACTCAGGTATAAAATAAAGCCTCTACTGAGTAATCCTACTCTCCTAAACATACACCTGGAAAGAATATATCTACAAAAATGTTTCTAAGATAAAGCACAACTGAACGTTAGTAACTTAAATTATTTTACCTATGTCCAAGGAAACAATAAATCTTTATAAACAATGAATCTAAACAGGTTTTAACTTTAAAACTCTGAAAATATAAAACACATGGGTGTACAGCACTGGTTTATTTTCCTTAGTACTAATATAATATCACATATAGTCAAAAGGGTTAAGTTTTGCATGAACAGTAGTCAAAGGGTGCTTAAAACTTAAACATGAACATAAAATTTCCAAGTTGGAAAAATGCTTAATGACTAATTCTGAAAATTATACAGTTTTCATATCTTCAAGGAATATTGCACCTAAACATGTTTTAAACTCAAAATACAAATGTGTTATTCATAAAATATAACTTACTTCCTTTGTAATAACAATGCAATTTCTGTTTGAACTTTCATATATTCTTGGGCCATTTTACAATGCTGTTCAAACACTGCCATAGATTCTTTGGAGTTTGGGCATGGTGCAAGAGGCTGAAAATAAGTCAGAGATGTTAAAACATAATTAAATCAAATCTCAATATCTAGTTGAGAGGTAGGACAGAGACTGTGATATATTTTTATAGCTCTAAAGCAAATAATCTTCTAAAAATAAGTGTTAAACTATGCCCTAGAAAATCTCAGCGTCCTTTTGTCAGAGTTAACTCAAAACGGAATTTATACTTGCTATCTTAACACTTTCACTGATACAGAGAATCATGACTACAGTACTCGTAGTTTATGGCATGACATTTTAGGTTGCTAAACTGTATTATATCAAAAGATGTTTATAGCACTCATACTCAAGAGGAGGCACTGAAGTGTATTATTTACATTTTTTGTCAGTATGAACATGAGAATGTATCACAAAATGTATTAAATAGGGGTGGGCTTAGATGAGTTTTATATTTTAATGCACTAAAATTAAAGAGTGAAAATGCTATGCTTAACAGTCTTGAACAAATACATGGGAATATTTTAAGATAACTGTTAAGAACATATAATTCTGCCAATTTTAAATTTGCTTATCTTAACTGAAAGAATCATTTATTTTTATTTTAAAAAGTTTAAGGCCAACTAAAAGCATAAATAAATATACAATGATGAATAGGAACATAACTGCCAGATTCAAAGATAAAGCTCTAAAAAGAAAACAGTAACTTCCAGTGAGGAAGTACTCCTTTACCTGTAGTTGGTGATCCAGTGTAAGATAAGCCATTGGGATGGAGTTATCTGATCCATTGGTATCTGGAATTCAAGCACGTAATTTATATATTTTCTGTCTTAAATAATTATAAACAAAAAGCAAAAAAGCGTGCATGAAATATTTTTTCCCCTAATGTAAATAACATGTAAAATAAAAGTTATCGTTATTGGTAATAAAGAGTCTATTTTTGAATTCTAAAGGTAAAAGGAGAACATCCAATTACCAGATAATGAGAATGCAATCATATTCTCATACCTACAATTTAAGTTGGCTATAAACTGAACAGAACACAAGGGTACTTCAAAAATTCATGAAAAAGTAGAATTGAAAGATAATCTGAATCTCTCCATGGACTTTTTGAAGTACCCTCAGATATTAAGGCTTGTAAACCTTTGTTTAATTAAAAATAAAAACAGTGATGTGTTCATATGCGACCTTATATTTTGAATTCAGTCTTAACCGATCCTACCTAATCAAACTCCACATCTGTTTCTTTTCTTTACCATGCTAAGTTTACTGTAAAGCTGTGTTAACTGCGTCAACATCAGTCTTAACAGGGAAAGGGAGAAAGCAAGAGACACATTCTTCTCTAGCAGATCATTTTCAGTTTATAAGGATTCTAATGTGAATCCTCTAGCCTACCCCTCCCAATGAGAATCACTACAGAAAATGAGAGATGTTACTGATGAGAGTATATTAAACATATGAACAGTATGGAAACAAACAAGAGGTTAAATTGGTTAATTCAAACAATCAGTCAATTTTATCAAACCATTTGAACAGATAACTTTTGTCTATATTTCAAAAGAGGTAAAACTGCCGTACAACTTGATTGAGATGCATAAGATGGTCTCTCCCCAACATTAACATTTATGTAGAATAGTTCCAAAAGTAAACAAAATAACTGTGAAGTAATATAGACTCTTCTATTGTGGAAGTTGCTGCTTTCTCACTATTAGAGAAAAAGGAGCAAGCTGTTCAGCCATTATCTGACAAGTAACTCCTTGAAAGAGTGGTGTGGATATAGGGAAGGTCAGGATGACAGCAGAGGCATTATATTCAATCCAACAAAAAACTAAGGCAGTTTGATGGTTCAGTAAACTTCTAATTTATTGTTGATTGATATGCTAGGTTTTTTTTTTAAAAGCCATTAAAATGTGCTTGCAAGTAACTCCAAAACCTAATAAATAAGTTAAATCAGACTAAATGAGATAATATTTGGAAGGAACAATGAGCAATGCTGACATATATTAAGCACTCAACACATGGCAGTGTGGCTGTTATCATTATTATTATAGTTCTGCCTCGCTTAACAACAGGAATGTGTTCTGAAATTTGCCTTGTCAGGTGATTTCGCTATTGTGTGAACACGATAGAGTGTACCTACATGAACAATTGTACAGCCTACTACACAACTAGGCTACAAACCTGTACAGCATGTTGCTGTACTGAATAGTGCAGGCAACTGTAACACAATGGTAAGTATTTGTGTATCTAAACACATCTACACATAAAAGAGGTACAGTAAAAATATGGTATTATAATCTTACGGGACCACTGTCGTATATGCGGTCTAAGGTTGAGCAAGACATCGTTATGTGGTGCATGCTGTATTATTATTCTTGATACTAAATGGAGAATTAGGAAGAAAGGGCAATTTTAAATAGTCAAGTTTGTATTTCAGACTGAAAAAGTAATGTTTATTAAACACTGGAGTGCAATAGAGAAAGAAAAACAGTAGTGCCTAGTAGAGCTTTAAGGTACTTACCCTAAAATCATTTGCTAACATAAATGTTTTTCTGAAGTGGCTAAACAAGAAGTATGCTTAATTTGTTATTTCTCTAAGCAACACTTTCTCTACCCCCAACAGCAGTTTCAAACTATGCTCCCCATGCAAACACTGCTTTCCACAAAACTAAAACTGATTGAGAACGATTTTCCCCTGACTCAGGAAAAATTAAATGTCTTGAAAAAGTTTTTTCAATTTATTTATTTATTTATTTATTTATTTTCCCCCTTTTTGTCTTTTTTTACTGACCGGTAATGGGATCGCAACCCTCGGTGTTGTGCCTGCACCGCGCTCAGCCAGTGAGCGGGAACCGGTCTCTACATGGGATCCGAACCCTCAGCGGGAGCGCCGCCGCCATGCTTCCAAGCGGCGCACTCTCCAGTGCGCCACCGGGCCGGCCCAGTTTTTTCAATTTAACATTTCTACTCCTATTACTCTTTCTTAAATCACTGACCCCTTATACATCTCATTATATCAGCACCTTGTATCTGATATATACTTTAGAATTAAATATAATACATCAATATTTCATAGTATTCTGGGGGTTAGAAAAAAAAGTCCAGGGATTATGTTATTCAAATAATTAAAGCCGGGCCGGGCCTGTGGCGCACTCGGGAGAGTGCAGTGCTGGGAGCGCAGTGACGCTCCCGCCGTGGGTTCGGATCCTACATAGGAATGGCCGGTGCGCGGTGTGGGCGACACCACACCAAGGGTTGCGATCCCCTTACCAGTCATGAAAAAGACAAAAAAAAAATAATAATTAAAGCCCTTCCATGGTGAGGAACTTAAATTGAATTTCATCTTTTCTCTAAAACCGAGAAGTAGGATTTCATTTTCTCACTTTTATCTAAATTGAAATTGAGCTTCTAGTCTCTAATAGCAATAATTGGTCACAAGATAGTAAGGAGATACCATGACAGTTTGGTTTTTTAATGCTTCACTTGCTAATCAAATCTAATGTCCTTCTCCTGAATGTCACAACTCAGTGGTTTGATTTAATTGGGCAAAATTTCTTTTCTTGCCCCCCAAACACAATACTTGTTACCATCTCATATTCTTCAAGTATGCATTCCCTTCATGTGGAATGTTGCCTTCTCCTTTCTGCCTTATGACTAAAGAACAAGTCTTACCACTTTATGAAAGTCACAGATTATGCCAGGTCTTATTTAATTAATTTCTCTCTTAACTATTAAAACACTCAGCTTGTACGCCCATTTAGTACTTATTATATAGCATGATGAGTTTACATTTAATGTGTTAGTATTATGACTCTACTCAGATTGCAAGAAATGGGCCACATCTTATACATCTATCTTTGCAAAGTACTAAGTACAGGAGAAATTTTTTTTTTTCCTTTTTGTCTTTTTTCATGTCCGGCAACAGATCGCAACCCTAAGTGTCGCGCCTGTACCGGACCGGACCGGCAACGGGATCACAACCCTCGGTGTTGCGCCTGCACCTCGCTCAGCCAGTGAGCGGGAACTGGTCTGTATGTGGGATCCGAACCCTCGGCGGGAGCACCGCCACGCTCCCAAGCGGCACACTGTAGCAGTGCGCCACTGGGCCGGCCCCAGGAGAAATTTTTTAGTGAGTTTCCCCCTTTGTGGCTCCTTCTACTGGGTCTAGGTATCTCTCTCACTAGATCACCTGGGTATGTATGCCTCTTTCTTGTACCCATTATATTATAAATAGAAACTGGAGAGTACTCATTACCTGTCATGATTATTAAATTGTTATGCTCTTTGGTATTCTCTGAAAATACACAGAAACCTCTACTTTTCTAAATTAAAAAAAAAATCATTGGGTTGTTTTAATTTATGTTTATACTCTTAATTTTTTCCTGGGTCAATGGGCCTTCAAAGAAAAAGTCTTTACTTCTCTGTTTCCTATAGTTTATTCTATTATCTTGATTACCATACTTTTCTTAGAAACACTACAAAGCTTAATTATACACTTTGGTAAACCAGAGTCTCAATTTTTAAAATGTATTCAAAATTATTTAAAGATTATAACTATATATTTGCAATATATTTCAAGGCAAAGACAAAATTCAGTTCACATTGCAACCTGGGCCCAGGTGAGATTTCTAGCTATTGGTATTTTATGGCTTTTTTAGGTAAGAGAAAAGAAATGAGACAGGGTTGGAAGGACAGGAGCACACATGAAGTGGAAATATATAGCATTTAAGTGAGAGACACTTAAAAGAATTTTCATTTTACCCCCATGAATTCACAATCCGCCTCATGTTGACTAGTATGTCTAGATTAGTCTAGGCTGAAGTTGGGAGGCTCTGCCAGGTTGAGTACCAGACCTGAGAAAATGTTGTAATGCCAGGGAGAGTACTCCCTTGCCCAAGGGTTCAGGAACCAAAACGAGCTGGTATCACCTGAACATTAATGATGAAATCTGGCAAGAGCATTTCCTGTCTACCACTGGGGAGGAACATGTCTATGATGAATTCCGCACATGTGCTGAGCAGTGGTGAATGTCCTAAACAATCCTAGGTTGGGCTGTGCTAGGGGTGAAACTTAGGAGTTTTTTTCACTACTAAATTTAAACTTACTAAAACTAGAGAGTACAACACTGGCTAAACATAGGTCTATCTTACATGACACAAAGAAAAAAACCACCCAGTTAACTTTTTAAATTAAATTATCAAATGGACTAAATCACATCAAATATCTATAAATACTTGAGTAGTATTTTAGTTTGTAAAGATAGAAATCTGACTTCAATTTAACTGCCACTATTAAAAACACAGTTGATCTTATATAAAATCCCAAATGGTTTAATTTTCTAAGATCTAAGATCATCTTTCCCTCTCTGACTTAATAAATGAAAATTTTCATCTATGTAAACTACTAGGTATTTATCAAAGTGTTCTCTTAATGTTAGGGAAAAGTTAATTCTACTACAGCACATCATTTCCTGTTTGCCCATAATAAAACTATTCCAGACAGGCAGATTTTAATACTAATATTGTGACCAGTTAGTTATTCACGTTGGGGAATTTTAATAACTCTTAACAGGCTTTTAAAGGCCTAATCAATATAATACTTATATAACTGAAATGAAGTCTCCCTATAGTTAAAAATGATTCAAAAGGTCAATGCTTAGAATTTTTTTCTCCCTAGGTACATGATATCTTATGCCCTTAAAACAAAAGATTGAGATGAAGATGAGGATGATGATTACTTTTACCATTCTGTTGATTTGATTTAGAAGATACTGACTTTAGTCATAATAGGAAAACCAGAGCCTAAAGTATCAAGAATACAATATGCTTCCTAACTGTAAAAAAAACCAAAACTATCTTCATAATACATGTTTAGTATCTTGGGGAAAAAAAAACACAGACGGCAAGACAGTCTCTGTCTTAGTAATTCAAAGAGACATTTTTTTTTTGTCCTTTTTTTTGAGACTGGCTGCACCGCGCTCAGCCAGTGAGCGCACTGGCCATCCCTATATAGGATCTGAACCTGTGGCGGGAGCACTGCTGTGCTCCCAGCGCCGCACTCTCCTGAGTGCTCCACGGGCTTGGCCCTCAAAGAGACATTTTTTTTTTGTCCTTTTTTTTGAGACTGGCTGCACCGCGCTCAGCCAGTGAGCGCACTGGCCATCCCTATATAGGATCTGAACCTGTGGCGGGAGCACTGCTGTGCTCCCAGCGCCGCACTCTCCTGAGTGCTCCACGGGCTTGGCCCTCAAAGAGACATTTTAAAATTTATTGCTAAATAGTTGATTTTATTACTATGAAAATCTAAACTACTATATAATGCCTGCCTTTGTGAAGATTGACGACACCACTAAATGAACACAAACATGATGAATTCAACTTCATAATTATAACGAGAAAACAGACTGATCACCTGTGGAATCATCAGGGGTCCATGGATGACTTCGAGTTGGCTTTTCTGAGGTTGGTCCTGAGGTAGTGATCATTCTGACACTGGGACTGGATGACCTACTGCTCACCTGTAGGAAGAAGTGTCAGAAGAAACAAAATGTGATTTTTGATTAAAAAAATAATGACAAGAGAACATTTCCATTAAAAGGCAAAAGACAGACTTCCATTTCTATTAGTAGAGATCCTGAAAAAACTCTTACAAAATAAATCCTGTAAGAATACTATATATATATGTAAAAATTTGTATGTACTCACACATGATACCTCTTAAAAACTGATGAGCTTACAAGAAAGTAAGAGAAATACTCTGAGACCAGAAACAAAGCAAGATCAGGAAACTAGCAAGTGAGTAAGCTGATAGCCCTGGGGATTTCAACTGAAGACTAATGGCCAAGAGCTTTTGTTTTGACTACCTGCCTGCTGTACTCAAAGAAACAGATGATAAAGCCTTGGGCCTTTGTAGGATGGGAGTAAGACTGGAGAAACCTCTGCTTAAAGCTAAAACTCAGAAAAGGCTTCATTCTCAAGGAAAGAGTCAGCTAGGAAAAAAAAATCCACCCTACAAAAGCAGGCAACAAATAAATTATCTGTCTTGCTAGTGGCTCTAGGTGGAGGGGAGAAAATGGATCCACTATGAATCCACAGAAAATTTCCAGAACTGATGGAAGATACAACAAATCCCACACATAAAAAATAAGAGAAAACCCACAAAGTGAGTTCAACATGGGACATATGTAGTCAAATTCTAGAAAACAGGCAAATAGAAGATAGAAAAAGCAGCCAGAGAAAAAAGACAAGATTATCCATAAAAGAATACGAGTTAGATTCTCAATGGCAACAAAGGAAGCTAGAAGAAAGTGGAATAATGCTGAAAGAAAACAACTGCTAATTTAGAATTGTTTAGCCAACAAAAATGTGAAGAAAGGGGTCAAAATAACATTTTGAGATGAACAAAACTGAGTTCACCATCCACAGACTCTACCACAGAAATTTATCAAGCATGTACTTTTCCTTGACAAAAGGGCCAAAATGCAATCAGGTAAACAAGGGATTAAGTCTACACACTGAAAATATTAAGCAATGAAAACAGTGACTAACCTATAGAGTTATCAAACAAACGAACAAGAGGTACTTAAATTCTGAATAACAACAGCATAAGCAAGAGCACTGATTTTAAAATCCTTGTACTGCTCAGAATGAGGGTAAAGATATTAACAATGTTGGGCCTGAATGTTAAAATTTCAAAGGTATTTACTAAAAGTAGTAATATATAACTTCCCAACCAAAAAGAAAAATAATAAAATGAGAAAAATATTTATTCAATTCAAAAGAAGGTAAGAAAGGGGAAAAATGAGAAATAAAAGAAAGCATAAGAGAGAGCACAGCTACCAGTAACTGTAATAAATATAAATGAGTTAAACTCTCCAGTTAAGATATTAAAAAAATCAGACTGGATTAAATGCCATTTATAAAAGACATATCTAAATCACAGAGATGGAGAAAACAAAGCTAAAGAATAAAAAAAGAAAACTAGGTAGAAACTACCTGAAATAAAGTTAAGTAACTATAATAATATATTTTAGGACCAAAAAAAAAGACTACACAAAGAGATAAGATGATAAGTAGTTCAATTAAGAATATAACAATTCAAAATGTATAAGCATATACATGTATATACAAAATAAAGAAAAACCCTGAAGGGGAAAGGGACACATCTACCATCATAGTGAGATATTTTAATATTCCTCAGTAAATGACATATAAAAGCAGACCAAAAATCAAAATAAAACACATATCCAGTAAAACCTAAATGGCATGAAAAACAACTTGATCTAAACATATCCATGACCCTATTCCTAGCAAATGGAGAACAAGCTTGTTTTCAAGCACTCATGGAACACTTATGAAAACTGATTATATACTAAGCCATTAAGCAAAACTCGAAAAAGTTAAAATTTAGTATCATATAAACCATAATTAATTGTCTTTTTGTACTGATTTCAAAATTAACCTTAAAAATCCTATATGTCTGCAAGTTTAAAAACACTTCTAAAAGTCAAAGAAGAAAAAATAGAAACTAGAAACTACTAAAACAAATTCAACAGGAATCATGCTAAAATCTGTGGGATGCAGCTAAAGGGGCACTTAGAGGAAAATATTTAATTCTAAATATTTATATGGAAAAACCAGAAGCACTGACAATTTATAAGCTAGGAATCTAACTTACACATTTAGAAAAAGAATCAAGCTATAAGCCTCCCAAAAAGAAAAATAGTAAAAGATAATATTTAGAAACTGAGGGAATACTGTAAAAACTTTGTGCCTAATAAACTAAAAAAAAAAAAAAGGATAAATTCCAAAGAATATATAAATCATCAAAATCTCTATACACTATAGAAAATACCACGCCCAGAGGTTTTTACAGGTAAATTCTATGAAACAGTCGAGAAAAAGGCTTCTCCAGAAATTATTCTACAAAAGAGAAAAAGAAGAAACAGTTCCTGACCCATTCTGTGAAGGCAGTAAAACCTGATCAATACATAAGGACAGTATGAGAAGGAAAAATTACTAGCCAACTTCATTTATAAAGTAGATGCAAAAGTCAAAAATTCTAAGAATTTATATTAGTAAATGAAATCTGGCAGTGTAAAAGCAACAAAAATCATTTAAAAAGTAGAGTTTATACAACAAATGTAGGGGTCTCGCTCTTGACACTAGGAATTCTATACATGCAATTCATCACATTAACAAATTAAATGAGAAAACCTCAACAGATGCATGAGGTGGGAGAATGACAGGGAGGCCACAGGCAAGGAACACAGGGACCCTCACTGGCATTGGTAATGTTCCATTTCTTAAGTTGGGTCATCGGTTCATGAGTGTTCATTTTATTGTCAGGTTCATAACATACAAATTACACCTTTTCTTGTCTATGTACTAATATTTCATATATTAAAAACACTTAAAGGATGTGGAAACTACGATGGATTTTCTAAGTATTTTTTTTTAAAAGCACCTTTATTCTTTTGGCATTCAGTGTTACTGAATACCAAATAGGAGACTCACAAAAGAACGTGAAGTTATACAAACTAAAACATAAAAAAAAAATATATATATATAAATTTATGAAGAATCTTATGTCTGGTTTCAATATGTAAACAAAACAAAAATCACTCAATTCAAGACTGCATCAAATTAAATGAGAAACAATATGAAAGTACCCTTGCACAGAACTCAGCAGACCTGAGGTTTTTTTTTTTTTTTTTTTTTTGGGTCACTCAATTCAAGACTGCATCAAATTAAATGAGAAACAATATGAAAGTACCCTTGCACAGAACTCAGCAGACCTGAGGTTTTTTTTTTTTTTTTTTTTGGCGGTTGGCCTGTACAGAGAACCAAACCCTTGACCTTGGTGTTACAAGGTGGTGCTCTAACCAGCCAGCTAAGTTGTGAGTTCTATTTTGCTGTAATGTCTGCTTTAGGTCACTTCAACAGTCTTGCGTTCTTTATGTGGAGAGGGGAAGGGGCTGGGTTAAGAATGTGATGACTTTTGCTTAAACATTCTAAGATTTTAAGCCTTGAAAACCCATGATGATTAAGGATTCTAAACAATGAAAGGTGCTCTTATAACAATTTCAGAGATAAAATCATAAGATAGTTTTGAAGAAAAACTGATGAAATACTACTTTCATCTTGGGCACCTATTAAAACTGCTTCAGAAATTACGAAAAGCTTTTCTATACCATAACCAATTTTTAACTCTGTATCAAATTAGTCCGTCCAAAACCTTAGTTTCATTCATGCCACTCTTACCAAGGTGCCCTGTATATCCTGACGTGCATCCTGTACTTCTCTCTTCCTTGCTAATCATTACTCATCCTATAAGACCCAGCTCAGGTTACCTTCAACATTATGTGGTCATTCTTGCTATTTCTCTTGTTCTTTGATTACAAAGCCAGATCATGTGTTTGAAGACGAGGACTGTCTAGCAGTGTACTGAATGTAAAACGTTCACTTACTGGTAGTTATTTGATCAGTTCCAAAATTCTCATTCTGGAATTCACGACCCTCCATCAGCAGATTTACTTTACCCATCCAGATTCTTTCCTTTTACAATTCCTTATACCCTTGTTTCCCTTCTATTTTAATCCTGATCCCATATTCACTCAAGGATAATACAGTGTACTACACAGAGCATGTATAAAAAGGAACTTTTGTAGGTCAAAAATGGTCAAATATTAACACTTTCAAATGTTCTGTCTAATACTTTGGAAACTTGGGTTCAACTCTCAGTTCTGCCATTTGTAGCTGTGTGAACATGTATAAGTAACTCAGCCTCTTTGAGCCTAGGTTCCTCTTTTTCAAAGTGTGTATGAAGAGAAGCAGCAGTAGGTCAGAAGTTGGGTCTTGGAGACAAGACAACTCAGTTTACGTTTCTGCTGTGCCATTGATAAGTAGTGCAGCTTTAGTTAAATTATTTAACTTCGAAGACTCAATAGTAAAATGAGAACAGTATTGCCCACCTCGTCAGGCTGTAAAAACCAAATGAAATAAGGTACGTAAAATGTCTCGACACAATAAAAGTGCTTATTAAATGGTGGATAATTAGGTGGTTATAAGATGGGAATATATGAGTAGACAGTCGCACCTAACAATTCCCTTCCTTGTTCAAAATCACAGTTCTTTTATAAAGCATGTTCAGTGACTAAACCCTATCACGATGATTTTTTTTTTCTTTCAATTTGGGCTGTATTTATAGTTAGTTCCTACCTAAACTTAAACTTGACCCTGAAATGTTTTATATTACTCTCAAAGTTTTGGTTCCTCAAAAGTATTATAATCTCTTAAGAGCAGAGACCATGTGTACTTTTATATTATACTTCCCAGGATCTAGGAAAATGCTGAGTATACAATAACTACATAATAAATACTCACTTAATAAGATGATAACAAAAGCTGTTGGCATTCAGATATAAGACTGGTGCTTAAGCTTACTTACCTTTGGTAAGTAAAAAGAATAAGAACATACACCAAAGAGAACCAGTGATGAAATGCATAACTTACTCTT